ATATATAAATGTAAATATAAACATACACATAGTGTATACGTATATTATACGTATTTACATATATTTTATTGTAAAAATTTGTATAAAATATATTATATATATAATATATATAATATACATAATGTATATTTGTAACAAATGTAATATATATAATATATAATGCATATATTATATATACTACTTATATATATTATATATATATTATGCCATGTAAATATAAAAATGAATAAAAAGTGTGGCCTTTTTGTTTGTTTTTTCCCTCCCTTTCTTTTTCCTTCTATTTCCTCCCTTTTCTTCTTTGCCGCCTTTGGCGTCTTCTTTCTCCTTTATTCTTCATTCTCTTCTTTTTTGTTCTTTCTTCCTATTTATTTCTTCTTATTGTTCTCTTCTTTCGTATTTCCTATTTCTTCTGTTTTATCTTTTTATTTTACCTCTTCCTTCTCCTTCCTTGTTCATCCTTCCCCACCTGCACCTGCCTCCCTTACACATTTCCTTTTTCTTTTTTTTCCTCTTTTTCTTTTTTTCCTCCTCTTTGCTTTTTTTTTTCGTCTTTTTGACAGAATTAATTCATCAACTTTTTATCCAAAGTCCGCGGGATTCCCGTTTTGGCAGTTTGAGGATTCAATCCGTGGTGCAGTTGCTGCTGCTCCTGCTGCAGCTATTGCTGCTGAGCTTATTGTGCCACTTGCTGCTGCATTTGCTGCTGCATGTGCTGCCGCATTTGCTGCTGCACCTTTTCACAGTTGCTGCTGCATGTGTTGCACTGCACCATCGATACTGCCTCGAGACATTGGAGTTAATTCTTTGTATTTATTTATGTTACTACAATTATACATTATAATTATATTTATAGCAATAATAATTATTATTATTATAATTAATAATATAAATTATAAAACATTATTCTTATTCTGTCTTGAATGCCTCTGCTATCTGCTGAGGAAACTTTGCTGCCTCCAGCAGCCGCTGCAGCTCGAGCCTCGCTGTTGTGAGCCTCCATGAGTGTTTTTTGATTTGTTTTTCTGTTGCTGCTGCTATAGCACGTTCTGTCTCTGTTCCTCCTGCTGCTGTTGCAGATCCTGCTTGCTGCTGCAGCGCTATGCACTGCATTAAGTCGTCGAATGCTGCTGCAGCAATTGTTATTATACGCGAATAGAGCTGCTGATCATGAACATCAGGAAAATAACGAGAAGACAAGACAGCTTCCTTCCATTCTTCCTTGAGGCGTTTACTGCCAACTGCATGCAGCACCGACTCAAGCTGCTGCAGTCGTTGCTGCTGTTGCGGCGTCAGCTTGTTGTTTGCTGCACCAGCTAATAGCATCCTGTAAAGGATTGTAAGTTCTGCTGCAGCCACGAGATCCTCTTGCAGCATAGCAGCAGCCTTGGAACGTCCAGATAAAGACAAATGCTGCTGCCGCTGTTGCTGCTGCTGCTGCTTCAGCAATTTTGCACGCTGCAGCAGCGCCTTAATTATAGGCAACAGATCTGCTGGCGCCTCCTCGAGCAGCGTCTTATAGTCTACCGGCTTCAGCAGCATGTCACTCAATGTTATCCGCTCTTCTAGCCACTCTAGCTCCTGTTGCTGATCTGCAGAATCTATTGCAAGCAAGTCTTGAGTCTGTCGCAGCAGCGATTTGTCTTGTTCTGCTGCTGCTGCTTCTGCTTCTGTTGCAGAAAAGGAAAAACGAGGTGTCGCCTCTTCCGCCTCATGGGGAGTAAAAGGAATTTCTGCCCTCTCTTGCAGCAGCTTTAAAAGCTCTCTATCGCCTTCTATTCCTGATAGGCTTATAGAGAAGAAACACACCATACCAAGGGCCAGCAGCATTGGAAACCAGGGAGGAGGAGCGGAATTCAGCAGACGCTGCCTCTCTGCAAACGACAAATACCTCCTGTGGTTACTGCTGCCGTTGCTGCTTGCTGGGGCCTCAACCTGCGATCCCGCAGCACCGCGCTGCTGTTGACGCTCCAGCTCCTGAAGGGGACTTAGTCCCCGCCTACCTGACTTGGAAAGCCCTAAGATATGAGGCAGCAGTAGAGAACCAGTACCTTCTCCGCCTGTGGCTGTCGTTGCTTCTGCTGCTGCCGCCGTTTCGCCTGCAGAGGAGGCTCCGTCTGGTGTTGGTCGTGCTGCGCCGGCTGCTCCTGGTGCTGGTGCTGCTGCAGCAGCAGCTTCGGGTTTTTCAGAGCTAGATTCGCCAGGCATTTTCAGTTAAGATGCAAAAAAACAAAATCTATTATTACTGACAGGGATAAACTCCTCCTATTCGATTAGAAGGTCAACATCGAGACCGTGGAGGAGGCAGGCAGCCAGTGTAGCAGGCGGACGGGCCGCAGGGTGTGGAGGCTGCTGTAATAAAACCGTCTGGAATAATAAATAGGGAACTTAATTATCCCAATTGAAGAAAAATAATTTGCATCCCACCGGGAGGACGAAATTTAAAGATAACTGGAGTCAAAAGAAGGGCGGCTCCTGCTCCACACTTTCCACTGCGGTGCTCGGCACCGATTGGCACACAAGAAGCCCCGAAGGCTGACGATGTTACTTAGAAACAATTACTCCATTTAGTTCTTAAATGTTGTTATTTATTGTTTTACTCTTTGTTTATTATAGCGTTTACATCCTTATGAAGGGACGAATCTAGAAAAGGCACGCACAGAAAGTCGCGGGCACCCCCACGCCAGTAGTACCAGCAGCCACAGCAGCAGCGGCTGCTGCAGCAGCAGCTGCTGCAGCAGCAACAGCAGCTGCTGGGCTGAAACAACAGCAACAATAAAACTAGCAACTCCATTAACACCAGCCGCAACAACAATCATAACACTAAACAGAACTAAAGAAGAACATTTCATATTCCGAGCAATATCGAGCTACTAGCATCGATTTTGTAACCATCAACTCTGCCACACACTGCGGATGTACCCCGATGTTTGTGTGCAGCGCCCGTCTACGGCATTTAATTAAACTTAAACCCCATACTTTTCTTTTCCTCGTAGGTGCAATAGTAAATGGCTGCCCTGGAGTACCCTTCGGATAAGTATTGTAAAAAGAAGCGTGCAATGCCCTGGTACGCAGTAGACAGCGGCAAATGGAAAAGTGCACGAACGAAGAAAGAGACAGTTGAGCGGCGAATATGAATTGGAGAGCAAATAGACCATGCAGCAAGCGAGAATTATAGCAAATCCAAGGGTATAAACAGAAGAGGCGAGCACTCATAGATGCACGCACAGACACAAACATATATATATATATATATATATT